TTAATTAAAAATTTATTATAAAATTAAATAATTAATATAAAAGACATAAAAATATACTGCCGTGCAACGCACGGCCTAAAAGAACTAGTTATAATAATATTTTGACAAATAAAAATTAAACTAAACAAGTTTTTTTATAGTGACTGCAATACATGGAAATAAAAAGTATGTTTAATTTAAGGAAAATGAATAGAAGGGAAAGGCAGACCGTTCCTTTATTTTGTTTCAGGAAAAAAAAAAAAAAGTCAAGGGAGGTAAAATCAGCTATTTCTGTTTTGGGATTGCGAGGCTGTGGCAATCCTACTGACTTTCGTAATTCCACTCGGTGGCAGGTCACCACTTAGAGACATAATCTGCTGTCTTTCTTTTAGGTTGAATCACCGGTGAGGTTCATAATCTGATACATTCAAGTGCTCCCTGTACAAACAATATAGTGCACTTTGTGAGCATTTCACTCTTCATTTGAGCATTATTAGAAACGCAGATTCTGTTTCTCATTCTGTTTACACCACAAGTAGTACTTTTTTGAAATGATGCCACATGTTTTTATAGAGATTAAATGACCATTAATTTTTCATGATTTATTATAAATTATCTGTGATTTGATATGGTAGAGTTCATTTTATGTTACCATGGGCTGGTATGAATTATTTTTGGAAAATAATTTAGAGACAATCTTTTTATACCACTTTTTTATACAACCTTATGTATTATTTAAATAATTGACTCTTTTTATTCATTTAGAACTCATGATATTAAATGTATTCATTCATTTATGGTCTGTTTGGCAACTTGAATTTGACAGTGTGTATTTGAATTTGAAGTGCTCAAATTCAATTTCACTATTTGTTTTTACTTAAATAAAATGTAATTGAATTTGAATGAAATACATGTATTTTAACAGAGTAATTCTTAAGAGTAAATATCGTGCATTTCAATTTCAGCCTAAAACCCCCGAATTTCAATTTTGAATTGAATTTGGTCTGCACTCTCTTCTCACCGACGGTGATGAGCCTTCACCGTCCGCCTGAAACCTTAACCCCTCTTTCAACGGTTAAACCCCTCCGTCTCTGCTGCCATTCTTACTCTCCACAACCTCAAAGCCTCACCCTCCCGATATGGTGAGCAAAAGGCAGAAATTAGCTCGGAAGAGATAGAAAGAGGAACACCTAGAACTGTTTCCAAAACCAGAGCCAAAAGACCCAAATGAAAAGAAGAAGAAGAGCAAGTTCAAGCGAAAGAAGGCAGAATGTAAAGAACCAAAAGACCCCAATAAACCCATTAAGAAAGGGATCACAAGACACCCACTTAGAGTCCCTGGCATGAAGCCTGATGAGAGATGTTTTATATGCAAAGCCAAGGACTATATCGCCAAGAATTGCCCTCAGAAAGCTCAGTGGGAGAAGAATAAGTTTTGTTCTGTTCCATGATTTTCAGTTTTGTGCACATGTTATGTTTTGTGGGGTCTGTATTTCTGGCACCGTAATAGTCATGCAAAAGTTGGTTCTGCTTGGAACTCAAAAGTTAATTTTTGTTATTTCAGAAGATGCTGAATTTGACAAGGTAATGAAAGTTGGGGATTGTTGGTTTGCTTGTTTGCTTGTTGTGTGGAGAAAACTGAAAATGGTGCTATTGTTGTTTCTTATGGGATACTTGCAGATATGTTTGCTTTGCCGACAACGAGGGCGTAGTCTCAAGAACTGCCCTATCAAGAATGTGAGAATATGGATAAGAAGTTGTGCTATAGCTGCGGAGAAACTGGGCATTCACTTGCCAAATGTTCACAATCTCATCAAGACAGTACTTGGCCCTTTAGTTCAACTAAGAATGCTTTAATAGGATTCTATAAATATGACTACAGTTTTCTCTTGAAGAAAATTGGTGTAATTTGGTGCTGCATTTGCTGTTGTCTGTTTTTCTAGTGATTTGACGTGTCATAAGTGTAATGTAGTGGATTTTGCAAGTGTAAAATATACTAAAATTACCTCAGCAATTCACTTAAAAGTTTACATGAAAGTGTGGTTATATTTAAAGAATTGTCTGCAGAGTGAGTAATTATTATCTTAATAGGAAATGGCCCAAGCTAGAAAATTTGGTCTACAGATTGGCCTGCAATTAATTTGTACATACTGCCATCATTTTACAAGTTGGAAGTTCACGTTAGAATTTGTTGAAAATTTACTGAAGAAGTTACTGAATTAGGATCTCTCTTCCTCTCTCTTGCTAGTGTTTGTGTTTGCATTTGTACATCGGACAATCCCTACTTTGTTGATCCTTTTTTTTTTTTAACAACAGGGAACTTCAAGAAGGCAGGGCCACGGGGCCCTTTGGACCCATCCACCCCA